CTCACACATAGAATAAAAATGATAAACTCAAAGATATGGTAGAAAGTAGAATCTCATCTATCAAAAGTTTTTTTTTTTACTGTTATGGGAATTGAGAGGCTTCCTTCATTTTTTCTTAAAAGTTTTATGTTGACTACAAATGAAACACTTTCTCAATTAAAATACTTTTTTTAAATAAGGAAAAGTATGTGGTACTGATTAATCATCCTGTAAAAATTCATAAAATACCAAGAAAATAATGAAAGTATTTGGGGACTTATGCTCTGGTATAAATAGTAGGGGGAAATACACAAAACCAAAATCCATAGTTTTCCCCATGCAATTTGATTAAAGGTTATTGGCCTTAAAGCAGAGTTTTCAATTTTATGATCTTACTAAAGCTAAAATTGAATTTCATATGCAAAGTATATACCGTTCTGTTTGATATTTGCATTGTCCCGTCCCCAGATTTATTTGCATTTTGTTTAATTGAAAGATGAAGCAAGTTAAATGCCCCTCTGCATGCTCGAGTTCTTTATATGAAGCATGCTTACATTATCAAGATATTTAAATGGAACAATATTCTTGGGTAGTTTGTAGATACTTCAATACATATATTTTGGATATATGAAAATTAGGCTTTGTGTTTTGGGCCAATTTATTACCGGCCTAGTAATAAAAAGTATGACAAATACCATTTTAGATTGGAAGAATTCAATGCAGGGCCTACAGTCTTTTCTCTAATAATTACCAAGTCTGACTTCTAAAAAGCTTTTCCCAGTTTGTAAGAAATTAATAATTTACAACAACAAAAGGCGTATAGATTATGACAACAATTTTATTGTCTTGGACTTCTTATGGTCTCATATCAGTGAAATTTAAGTTTTAAAGATATAATGAATAATGTATTTGGTGTAACAAATAATACAATGGAAATTAGTATATTTCTTTCATATCTGTGATAATGCAATTCCAAAAAGTTTAATCCTAGTGGTGAATTGTGTTAAATTTTAGTCTAAATTTTTGGTGTTATATATAGCATATTTTCCAATTCCTCTTTTTTTTTTTTAACCAGTGTATATATTTGAGTAATTCTAAAAATTTGCTGCAGGAGAAAATATGTAATTCCTTTAAAATATTAATGAGTTTTACATGGATTACATGTTTTTTTTTAAAGCACAGAACACAATTGAATAAATGGAATTCATTGAATGGACATGGGCAGGGGAATTAAAACAGAAGTGCAGTTCTGTACTAGGGGAATGGATAGACTTAAAGTTTGTGTGTGTGTGTGTGTGCGCGTGCGTGCGTGTGTGTGTGTGTGTGTGTGTGTGTGTGTGTGTGTGTGTGTGTGTGAGAGAGAGAGAGGTTCTTACCATAAACGAGATCTATCAGCTATTACAAGATCTACCATGGTGGATCAGGAGAATCAGTAATCCATAAACTACATCAAAGGTGCTAAGGTAGACAGACAGACAGTCAATCAGTAAGTAAATAAGTTTATTGTTGTAACCACTGATCATTACTGCCTCCCAAATATAGCATATTGGAAACTCTACAGCATGTTGGAAGCTAGAAGTTAGTATTTGTTGCCTTTATAAAGGAAGACATTGTCAACAAAAGTACAGGCTCTCTCTATGACTCAAGAACAGAAGGAACCTAGAGATGATGGTCAGAGACATATAGCCAGATTTTTTTTTTAGATTTTAGATTTTTTAAAGGTTTTTTTTTCTGCCTTTATTATTTTTATAAGTAACTCGAGGCAGCAAACACACTTAATATTCCTTCCTTCTCCTGTTTTCTCTACCACAATACTTCTGTGAAATGATTGGGCTGAGAGAGAGTTACTGGCCCAAATTCTCCCATATGGTTTTCATGCTTAAGGCTGGACTAGAACTCACAGATTCCTGGTTTCTGGCTTGGTGCCTCAATCATTAAACTGACTCACTATTTGCTCCTTTTTTGCTACAGGACATACTGTAGCAGAAGAAGGAAGCTAGCAAAGCCAGAAGAATCAGCTAATGTTTTATCATACATTCCAGACAAAATCAGGACAACACAATTTGAGATCATCCAATACCATAGGATGAGATATTATCAATATGCAGATGATGAACTCTATTCCTGGTCATCCAAGCAATGCTGAGACTGCCCTTTTGTGGTGCCTGGAGATTATAGGGGTCTGTATGGGGGACAACAGGCTTCAGCTGAACTCCAGCAAGACGAATTTGCTGTGGATTCAAGGGACTTCAGGATCTAGTTGTTTATTATTTGTAGTTCTCAATGGGGTTGTACTATCTTGGACAGACCTGGTGTGTGAATTGGGGGTTCTCTTAGACTCACAGCTCCTGCTTGAAGAACAGGTAGCAGTTGTGGCTATGAGGGCCTTCGTGCAACTTTTGTGTTGTGTGCCAGTTGCACCCTTATCTGGATCACAAGGCTTTGTGTAGAGTCACTCATGCCCTGGTCATCTCTCGATTGGATTACTGTACTGAGTCTACGCGGGACTATACTTGAAGAGTATTTGGAAGCTACAGCTGGTACAGAATGCAGTGGTACACAGTTCTGGAAGCCCCTAAGGTGACACATATAACACTACTGTTGTGCGAGCTGCATTGGTTACCAGTTTGCTTTTGAGTCCAATTCAAGTAATACAATTATTACTTGTAAATTCCTATGACATGGGTCCAGAGCATCTAAGGAGCCATCTCACCCCAATTCTGCTCCACCTCTGTGGGCAATCTATTAAGGAATTCTGGTAGGTAGAATCAGAGTCTTTTCCATTGTGGCCCCCGTCCGTGTGGAACACTCTATCATTGGAGGTGAGAACAGCTCCCACCCTTCTAGCTTTCTGGAAGGGTATCAAAACTTGGTTTTGCCAGTTGGCCTGGGCCCCTGAGGAGGGCTGCTGGGTGGTTGATGGGGTGAGAAGATCTCATCCCTGTGTCATTTGTTTCCTTGATTCGAGTTTATATAAAGCCTTTAACATTTTCATTATTTTTATATTTATCTTTTTACTCTTTGTAAGCCACCCAGAGACATTAGAGAAATGGGTGGCATATAAAATGATAAATAAATAAATAAATAAATTTGGTGATGACCTAAAAGAGAGGGTAGCACAGAAATAGCAACACTTAAAGCCAGTATGTATTTCTACCAATCCAAAGATGTCTAGATAGCACTTTCAATAATCAGGAAAGTTCTTTTCAGGTACAGTAGAATCAGTACCAAACTAAACATATGTTTCCAAGTCCCATTCCCCCCCCCCCAAGCCCACATCTGTACTGTAGTGCCACAAATATTGGGAAGGTATTGTGCCCCCTACCACCTATCATTGCAGCTTTATAGATCTATACCTAACAGCTGGATCTGTGCTTCAAACACCCCCTTTGTGTCTACTTTAGCACCAAAGACATGGAAGAGGCTTTTTCAAATATAGCTAAATTTGTGGGAGTGAGAAGTTGCACTGTTTTGCCAAGATTGATATCCTAATTCCTTATTTCAGAGCTTATGTGTGTCACCAGCATTAACCTTCATCATAGTCAATTTCAAATAAGGTTGAATTGTTGGTTTTATTTCAAAAACAGCATCTCTTAAACATCCAAGCATCTGGCACTATATTGGTATAACAATAAATGTTTTAACTGAGTATATCCCTGAGCAGATGATTTAGGTAAGCTACAATCAATATGTATTTTTTCAAAATTCTTAAAATACTGGTTGCTAATCACCTAATCTGAGCTCTTGCTTTTGTTCAGCCTAAGAGTTCTGATAAAATATTTCCCTCCATCTTTAAATTTGGATTAGCACAAGTTTTAAGAAAGGTTAAATGCAGTTCTTGTGAGTTAGATATGAAGTTAATTCATCAGAATCTGTGTTTATTGGGTTCCCCAAAAGAAGTTTAAAAAAGAATGGATATCAGACTTTTCGTGTTGATTTTGCTGGCCTTTTTGACTCAAGTTCAAGTTCTCTACAGTCCTTTTCTAGTCTCAAGTTACAGGTTAGTCCAGCTTTGGAGAAAAACTTATAAAAATGTAAATGAAGCGTGGAACCATATTCCAAAAATACAGAACTTGGCATTTTATAAATAACTGACTCCATCTAGCTTGGAGATAATTTAAGAGAATCATTCTATGAAGGTGGAATAATAAAGAGTGGATTCAAGAGATGTGTTCTTTGTTGATTTTTGAAGTCTTTATATTATAGAGAAAATAGATGTTGCTCTAGGGTTTAAATTTAATAATATGTTAGATGTCTATTAACAGCACATTTGGATTTTTTTTAAAAAATCAGTTTATCACTAATATATATGTGTATGTAGGTTTTTGTATTACCATTGTTTTTTATTGTTAAAAAAGAGAAAACAAAGATAAAATGACCCATTTCCTCTCCTCTCTTGTTCTTTCCCCACCCTTGGCAAGAAAAGCGGAGGGTTCAGAAAAAAGGGGGAACTCTGTCTCACTTCCCCACCCCACTGCCTTCTTTTCTCCAGAGGAAGAGAAACTGCAGGAGCAGATAAATTATAGAAACGGAAAGAGGTTTTTTCTGGTGCAATGCTCCAGTTCCATCCAAGGGAATCAGACAACTAACAACACCAAAGGTGTTTTTCCTACTCGGTCTCTGCCCTACCCTTGCTCTTAGTGCAAGTTATTTTGTACCACATTTGCTTGGGGGGGGGGTCCTAAGTGTGATTTTTTTCTCCTTCTGGCCCCCATGAAGAATAACAGTACTTGCTGCCGTGTCAAAATGTGCTAAGGCAACAGCGCATTGTTGAATGCCTTTGGTGGAAAAGAAGGAGAGGTACAATATCGTATGTGAAGACTACTAGCATGTCTTCTCCCATTTAACCACACCTTACTATTTCCTTTTCCCCATTATATTTGTTTTGATTTTGGATTGCAAGCTGTGTGGCCCGAACGCCTGTTCCTGGTACAATGTCGTAATAGCTCTGTCCTCGTAATAATGGGGAACGATTTTCCACCACCTCCGCCCACGCAAAAAAGCACATCTACATCCGTGCAAAGGCTTCATCCGTGCAAAGGCTTTATAAATCTCTGCTCATCGGTTGGATATGTTCTTTAAACGTCCCCTTGCATCTTCAATGCTTCGGCAGACCAAACACGGGGTTGCAAAGCCAGGCTTTTCTTCTGTTGGGTCTCCTTTTCCCGCCCTGTTCATAAGAGGCACCGCCGCTTCGCTGTCACTTTCCGCGCTTCATTCTGATGGTTACAAAAAACAGACACACACAACGCCCAGGATTCTTTTTAAGCCCCGGTACTTGAAGAGTTAAATATTATCTTGGTTTCTACGCCCGTCCGTTCCGAAAGTCGAGTCTTAGAAATAGAACTTTCAAATTTAGTACTATACCACTCTGGTTTCTAAGGCAGGGCGATATACTTTTTAAAAACTCCACTACGGTACGTCGACTCCCAGAGAGGCAATCGAGAAACCATCTCTTCTTACAGTTGGGACTTGAAAGCCCGCCTTAACGGAAGAGCGGACGAATCACCAACGCCAACAACGTCACCCACGCCCGAACCGCTCGTCCTCTTCCAAGATGGCCGCGCAGCGCGCGGCGCCACTCTTTGCGTCATAACCGCCACTCCGGCGGCCTTGCCCTTTTCCAGAATGGCCGCGCCGCGAGCGTCGCCAGCCTCCTCCCGACTGAGAGGCACGAAGGAAGTTCGACGGGGCGGGGGAGAGTCAAGTCACCTCCTTTTCCTCGTCCTACGACGAGCCCGAGCGCGTCGGAAGGAAGTTGCGGTGGGGCGGGGAAGGTGCGTTTTCACCTGGGGGTGTGTGTGGAAAGGGAGGGCAGAGGGGGGGAAGAGAGAGAGAGAGAGGAGAGAGAGAGAGAGAGAGAGGGAGGGGGCGTGGGCTCCTACTGGCCGGCGGACGGCTGGCGATTAAAAACGGGAAAAAAAAAACTTTATAGAGAAGGAGAGACGAGACAGGGAGACGTTGCGTCGTAGTGGCGCCCGGAGGGACTCCTGCCGGGGTCTTTGAAGTTTAACGCAAGGGAGAAGCGAGGGAGGTGAGTGAGTGGCTTTGCGGAGTTGGAGCAGGTTGCTTTGCTTGCCCGCCCTTGGCCCCTTATATAGCTCCCCCCCCCTATTCCTTATATTAAATTATATTATATAGCCCCATGAGGTTCACGCACCGCGTCCTGCGTTTCCTTTGTGGAGAGGCTGCCGTGCGTCGGTTGGGAGCGCCGGGCAGAGGCTGTCGATGCCCTGCAATGGGATGCCAGGCTCTTAACGAGTGGCACGAAGCTTTCCCTGCGGAGGCTGCCGCAGTAGCCACTGGAGGATGGGCGTAGGGCGTGGAGGAGAGCATGGGCATCTTTATTTTTATTTATTTTGTATTTCGCCAAGCACGTATTTTGTGACAGGTACAAGTGTAAACATAATTATGAATTCATGAAATGGACACCGAATAAAAGGAAACATTAGGACAGGGGCGGTAGGCAGGCTGGTGCGCTTAAAGCAGACCTAGACTAGGCTTCTGGAATACCTTAGGCCTCACAGCCTGACTAGACATGTGGCATTTTAAACCTGAAACTAGCACTTTTCAATCTTATTCCACCCCACCCAATAGATATTATATTAAAGTAATCCCCCTCCTTTGTTTTTTTTTTTAAAAATGACTCGGGGTTGAGAATCAGTGGCCCTGGTATGTATTGAGGTATATCCGTATAAAGCCCGAGTATAAGAATTAAAACTGTAAATTTTTGAGTTATGCCACCGATACATCTTAAAGTTGTTCAGAAAAGGAGGGGAGATGTCAAATAGTTCTCATTGTGGGAAAGCATGCAGAGTGAGCGGCCCTCTTGTCTTACTTGTTTGTGAAATTCCATCTAGTTTTGTTGAAATCAAACAGGAGTAAAGTAACTCTGGGATATATATATATATTTTTTGGATTTCAAATTAGGATTTTTAGGATTTCAAGTCCATAATGTTACTGTCGATCTTCTGCAAGAGTCTGAAAATGTGGATTAGTGCAACAGTGTATAATTTAGTGTTTTTTTCACTTAAGGTGGGGGGTGATGGAGGAACCAGTTGCATATTGCAGTGGAGAAAGGGAAGTGTTGATTTCTGCCTAGGAACATGTAAATATTATTCTTTTTTTTTCTTTAACATTATGTATTACAGAGTCTGTTCTCAAATTTCATTTATGGTCACACCACATAATTAAGGTTCCACTTAGGTATAAACACGCAGGACCTCATTGCTTGTCAGTATTTGGAAATATTTGGCAATCCAATCAGACACTCTCCAGTTTTAACATTTCAGAATTAAACTATTCTGGCTATAATGCTCCAGCTCCCGAGATGGCAAGGCACCCTCTGCCATAGAGAGAAACTAAACTCTTCAAGCTAAATGTCTGCAGCTGTTGCTTCTCTGTGAAGAGGGCAAAAAGGAATGTGTGGGGCCTATGACAGGGAAGCTGGAAACAAAGTTCTATTTTCCCATCACTTCCCAAAGTAGGGAATAAAAGCCTTAAGCTCAGAAGGTTATATACTTTATCTCTGATCCACTTGGAAAATTAGGCAATAGGAAGAGAAGAAACTAAATTAAAAAAAAATCCACCCTACCTTTCAGCTTTCTAGTGAAGTTAGTAATTTATTTCCCCTGTCCTTTTTGGATTGCTCAGTTAAAGGCATATTCATCAGTCATTGCTTCTTTGCAATAGTCATTTATCTAGTTCACCATTTATTATCTAGCCAAACTATTTTGACGAGTTGTGGTTTGACAATGATTTAACTGCTAAAATATTTTTCCAGTATCTCAAGAGTTGTTTCTTGATTAGGTAAATATAGTTGCTTCTTGAGTTGTTGCTAAAATTGAGTTGTTTCTTCAGTATGTAAAAACTGAAAGGGGTGTAATTTGAACACAGTGATGCATTCTGTGTGATGTTAAAACAATTAACTCCATTCTCTGCCAATAGCTTTTAGTTTCAAAGTAGAAAATATTTTTCTTTGCATGATAAGATATGACAAGAAATGGATATTTAGTAGAAACGCCACCCAGGGCTGGTCTTTTATTTTTTTGTGTATTCTGCATTGCTGAATTTGTTTATGTTAGATAAACCATGTTTTAATGAGCCTGGTGTAGAGTTAGGCTCAATAGATATTAGCTATTTTCTCTTAATTTAGTATTTCTCAATGAGGCAAGTTCAAGATGTGCAGACTTCCAGAATTCCGCAGCCAGCATGGCCATAGTTAATAATTCTGGGAATGGAACTCCACACATCTTAAAGTTGCTCAGGTGGGGAAATGTTACTTTAGTTCTTAAAGGTATGCACTGCTGGGCCTAAATGACTTAAGATGCATAGGCCTCTCCAGGGAGACTGAACATGTGATTAGCATGTTGCAATGACAGCATAGAGCTAAAAGTTTGTTCCCAATTTAAGTCATTTAGTATTCTAGAAAGGAAGCTGTTTGAGATATATTCTGATAGTCATGGGGGGAAGGTTACCCTAAAATTAACTTTTTTTCCAATTCTGCACTCTTTCTAAATAGGACTTGAAGTTGTAGGAGACTTCTTACTTGGATATATCTTCTTGCATTATCAGTGGTTCTTCAGAGAATGATTTCCCCTCTGGTCCAGCAACTGGGGAAACACTTGGTTGGAAAAGGAATAGCTGATCAAAAGTATTTGGTAATAACCATTCTAGTGGGCATAGCTCATGTTTTGCATGCCAAAGGTATCTGGATCAAACTATATATATAAATCTAAATAAACCAACTAAACCAAACCAAACTGGAACATTCAGGTCTTTTATCATTTGCTTGATCTGGATTTAGCAAATTTGAACCCACTTGTGCACTACTGTATATATTTGGATTTCATTTGAAACAATAGTGTCAGAAGCATATTGTAATTGAAATATATTACTTTAAAAAATAATTTTAATACAAGTTTTAAAGAAGATAAGGTAAAAATTAAATTTAAAAAGATAAAAAGTAATACAAAATAATGTGAAGAAAAAAAGAGCCAGTTTGATCTATTGATTAGGGCAGGGATCCCCAGCCTCCAGGCCGCAGCCCACTACTGGGCTGTAGCCTATTCGGAACTGGGCCATGTGTGTGGCTAGCCAGAGTGTGCATGTGCAGTTCAACTTGCATGAGCAGCAGGCCAGTGGGTACCTTCACGCATGTTGTGTGTGCCCACCACTTGCACAAGTCAAGCTGTGGCCATCCACCCCCTCGGCCCAGTTCCAAATAGGCCACGTGGCTTAGTTCTCCTCTCCCCCCCCCCCCCGCCCCCCCAAAGCTGGGCTACCAAACCGCAAAGGTTGGGGATTGCTGGGTTAAGATACCAGGCTAGAAATCAGAAAAATATGAGTTAGTTTATTTATAAAATTTATTGGCCACCCATTTTACCACACTTATCTCTGGGCGGCTTCTAGTCCTGCTTTGCACATGAAAGCCATCTGATTGATTTTGGGTCAATCACTCTTTCAGCCCAACCCACTTCACAGGATGTTGTAGAGAAAGTAGGAGTAGGGAGGAGTATTAGGTATGTTTACCTCTTTGAATTATTTATAAAAATAATAAAGGCAGGATATAAATAAGGGAAAGAAAGAAAGAAAAAGGAAGAGAAAGCTAAAAGTCAAGAAAGGAATAAAATTAAAAATAGAAAAGAAAGAAAAAAGATACAAAGAAAAATATAAATTGAACTTTTTCAAAGCAGTTGTAAATAGACAGGTCTGCTCAGAGTTAGTTTGGTATATAGTAGTTAAGGCATTAGGCTAGAAACCAGGAGACTGTGAGTTCTAATCCTGCTTTGGGCACAAAACCAACTGGGTAACCTTGGGCCAGTTAACCTGTCTCAATCTTAGAAAGTAGGCAATGGTAGACAATTTCTGAAAAATGAAAACTTGCCAAGAAAACTGCACGGACTTGTTCAGGTAGCCTCCGAAAATTGGATACAATTGAAAGAAAGAAAACCAAATCTTTTGTTCTTGGGTGGAGAAAAAGCTATTAACTAAATAAGATGCTGAATATACATCCTTTAATTTTTTAATAATATACCCTTTTACCATTTGCTTTTTTTTACTAATACATGTTTTCATGTATTAGGATATTATGAAATAGCTCATTCTTTCTGCCCTGAGAAAAATCTTTTTCTCATGATACCGTAAGATCTACTTAAACTTCAAGAATTAGGAAGTGAGGCAGTCTTAGAATCGATCATTTGTAGCTGAGTTCTAAAAAGCTCATAATCCTTTCTGTGAAAAGTATTTCTGGCTGCAGCCTGGTTTTCTCTGTTGCATTGTAACTTACAATTGTGGCCATGTAAATTGTAAGGAGTGGGTAACTCTTGGCCGGCTGCTGTGTTTCAGCAACAAATGAAATGATCAGGAACCTCTGGTGCATGTTGGTAAATATAGAAGGTGCTATTCCAGTTTAGCAGAAGCATGGAGAAGTTTTTAATGATTAGGACTCAATCAAGATACTCCCAAGAGCTTCTGCAAATATTCTCTTTCTTCTGGTTAGCTCCCTTAATACTTCCCATCATCTGATTAACTTGTAAAATTGCAGACGTTGCTGGAGGGGAAAAAGTAATCACCAAGTAATATGCTAATTTGAGCTTTCATATTTAAGCCAAAAGGGAAGAGGATAAGTGTGTGTTCTGTGTTTTATGTGTGTATGTGTATGCATGTGTCCATGTATGATTCTCAAGGAGTTCTCTTTAGTAAGATTTATTGAGGTAAGAAGTTCCCAAAATTCCAGAAACTGAATTCTTTTCCATTTATAACCAATGTGTGCCCAAGTACACTAGGCTGAAGACTTTTTGTTTCTTTATAACAGCTCTCCTATGATCTAATGCAGTGATGGCTAACCTTTTTGCCATCGTGTGCCAGGAGCGGGAGGGGGTGGTGGTGGTCGTGCGTGCGTGTGCCCATACCCATAATTCTATGCGCCCCACCCCCGCGCGCATGAGTCCCCCTGCTCCTGGCATGCGATGGGCCGGAAAGCCTCCCTCCCCCTTGGAAGCCCTCCAGAGGCCGGAACTGGCCCATTTGCCAACTTCCTGTGGGACCGGAAGGCCTGTTTTTTGCTGTCCCCAGGCTCTGGTAGGACCGGAAGTTGGCAAATGGGCCGTTTCCGGCCTCCAAGTGTGTGTGGGGAGGGCCGTTTTCACCCTCACCAGACTCCTAGCAAGGCTCTGGAGCCTGGTGAGAGAGAAAAACAGGCCTTCCCCACCCCCCCGAGGCTCCCTGGAGGCAAGAAACAGCCTGTTTCCCTAATTCTGGTGGGCCCAGAAGGCCTGAAAATCAGCTGGCTGGCACACGCATGCGCACCGGAGCTGAGCTTGCATGCCCACCAATATGGCTACACGTACCACCTGTAGCACCTGTGCCATAGGTTCACCATCACAGATCTAGTGGGAAGAATCATTGGGAGTTTGGCAACATAGAAATATAATATATTATTATTAATGTCTCTGATCATAGGGAAACAGCAGCTAGATATTTATATATAAATATTCTGAACCCTAATCAGATTGGGGCTTAGATATTGCACACACATGTACACACGTGCATATCATACACACAGACAGTTCTTTTTTATTTTGAATATCAAGGCAGATTAAATATTGAGACACTGGAATAATTTGTAATTTCAGTGTTCAATCCTGGCCTAGTGCTACTACTAAATCCTGTATCATTAATAAAGTCCTTTCTTAGGATAATAGTCGGCAATATCCTGTTTATCACCAATAGTTATGTGAAAAGAATCTTCTTTACCCAGGAAACAAGGAAATATTTATTTTCATCTGATGGCTAATAATTCCCCAAATCCTGAAGTGAGAATTTGATTTTGGCTTCTTTGAATTTACTAAATTCTCTCAAGAAAAGTATAAATCATTCAATAAATCAGAAGAAGAAAACACAGCTTTCTGCTTTGTTGGGAAATTCCTCTCTTTTTTTCTGTCCTTTATCTAAAAGAAACTAAGCTATTTTTATCACACCAAGCCAACAAATAGTAGCCCAGTACTGCATAGGAAGATCACTTTTTAAAAAAACCTTTCTCAGTTTTTATTTTTATTTTCTCAAGAAAGCAACTTCTAAATTAATTTTTGTTCCCTTTTTAAGCCAAGCTTTTCATGATTCTGCACATTTAAATGTGAATGTATGTATGAATGCTACATTTCTAAACTCACCGATTTTTTGTTGTGACAAGAAGCTTTAATGGTGCAACTTATTTTAATTTTCCACTTTTTTCTTCTATTCCTAACTGTATGCCATTAAAGTGAATCATTTCTTTAAATCCACCAGTTCTTCCTTGACCTTGTTCTTTGATTTTTTTAAATCATTTCACTGAGTGTATTAATTTTTTCTTGGATGCTTAACTAAAATTTCTGTATAACTGAATTGTAACTGGTGAACATAATGTGCTTATTTGATATCCAGCAATCCCAAGTTTTATTCAATAAATTGAATTGGTTACACTTCTAATTTTTGGATTTTAAACAGCTGTTTAATAACATTTATTAATCTATAATATTCAGAGGATACAGAATTAATACTGGAGGAAGCCCAAGCTTGTAGTAATAGAATTAATAGAAATATTGGTTTTCATTTTTAGCCTATCCATATTTTTAGTTCCTGGTAGATGAAAAAAGAAATGGAGGTTTTAAATGTTTATACTTCATGAGGTGAATGGGGGACTTGAGATGCTTTCATTTCTATTTAAATTAAGTACCATTGAGTTAACTAACTGTCTATATATGTCAGGGATGGCAATTTCCCCAAGGGGCCATATGAGAACTGGGACTGTTTTGAAACCAATAGGCTTCCTGTTGCTCTTTGGTGGAGATCTTATTGATCCCTGTTGTGTTTGGAGTTGAGCTTCTTCTTGGTAACTGTGACGACTGGCACTGACATGTTCAAGGAGGAAGGAGCCTCACATCACCTCATTTTAGACCAGCCAGGCCCAGCCACCACTCTTCCGCTGTGGCCGCTATGCTCCTGCTCACTTGCTAGCTCTTGGCTGTGCTAGGCCTGCTTGCCTACAAGAACATGCTTTGACTGAGGTGGTGGATGGCTGAGCCCAGGTCCCCTCATATATGATGATCATCATCACTATTTCCTCAGGCTGCTCTAGGTGAGGGGTGAGCGGTCTGAAGGTACAGAGAAGCCCTTTCTCCCCTCATCTTCCTGCGGCCCCCAGCCAACTGAAGAAGCGCACAGTGATTGCATAGAACTGGACCCAGCTCTGTGGCATTCTTATTTACATTTGATTTCCAATTTCTGACTGGCCTCATGCAGGCTGGACAGGGACAGTTTGCTGTTCAGCTTGCAGTAATTTTGCTCAGTTCATAAGATCTATTCCACAACTTGCATTATGTACCCTCACTTGATTTTTTCTGTTGTTGAAAGCATCTGTCAGCAGGAGAGAAAATGGAATTTTCAGTGATTTCCCTGCAGACTCTCCTATGGCCTCTCTCGCATATCTCTACAAAGATCTGAATCTTTGGAACAGATGAGAATGTAGGGGGTTACAGTGAGTGAGGGAAAAATTGCTGAAAACTGTGTACCTCCCTCTTGACAGAAGAAACGAACTTGCTTTTGTTTCTGCCCCTGATTTTCTTGATTATTATGCCAAGCAACTGTAGCACCATTAAAATATTGTGTGTGTGTGTGTGTAACCAAGTTAATTTGAATTGTTGTATCTTATACAACAATTCAAGCCATATTTGCACGGATGGAGGTCTTTAATTTCAATAATGCCTTTCTGGGATTTGAATGAAGTTCATAATACTCACATTGAAATTCTATTGAAATATTAATCAGCTCTCAGACTCTCCATTCTAAAACTGCAGTTGCTAATGATAGTCATCTAATTGGTAGTAAATGTTTTATTTTTATTTATCTAGTATTAATTAAAGAAGGGATGGAACTTTATCTAGTTTCCATGGCTACTTGAAATTTTATAGTGGATTTCTTTTGGAAAGTTTTACCTAATAATTTAAAATTCACAGACAAATGTATACTCTAGCACAAAACAAATTATATATGTGTAAAGTGAAAACGTGGAAGTGTATTTGAAAACTATCCTATGTGGCTTACTGGTGAGTCATTTGGATGACTAGAATATAGTTTGAAATATCTTAATACTTTTAGAGTTACACTGTGGGTGAATTTTTAATTAAAAACACAAATGCTTTACTTCTAGCTGTGAATTCCATTACAAGATTGGTTATATGTTACCAAAGCAACCCATCTCCACAAATAAAGCAATGGGTGGAATCATTTCCAGATGGCGGGTAAGTAAATCTTCTCAATTGGAGGTATATATTTTTGTACGGCAGGAAGGAGAGTGTCTCAGATGAATTTTTAAGTTGTTCCGTAATGTAGAACAACCTGGTGAGTTTAGCTACAGCAGAATTATATTATCAGTGTATTGGTTGCTCTTATTTCTATTTGTATGATGAGTCTTCCAATGAAGATAAGCAGCTGGAATGTTTGAACTGCAGAATGTAATCCATCTCTTAAAATCAGAAGGCTATGCATATCTTTTATGCAGTATTTAATTGTGTCTAATTATTGTGGAATGAGATGCCCCAGGTCAGTGGTCCCCAACCTGTCTGGCAGCAGGGACCTAATGGGGGGGATAGGGGATGGTTTCACTTGCAACCTAGATCCTGCGCATGTGCAAGTGAAGCTTTGCTCACTTGCCTGCTGCTTGCGCGGCTCAGTTCCTAAAAGGCCACAAACCAATAGTGGTCTGTGGGTTGGGGGCGGGTGGACCTCTGCCTAGAAAAATAATATGTCGCTAATAACTAAGGTGCTGTCTAGAGAAAGGGTGAAGTCAAATCTGTTATGTTTTAGCATTTTGCAATACGAGTTTTGCTTAATGACAGATCACATATAACAGGCAACTTATTTTATGGAGTTTCTCCCTTTTTCGGAATCATTAACAAGAATAGCATTTATATCCTGCTTCCTTGTATTTGGAGTGCATCTCATGGAAAACTTTGATAAGAATACACAAATCATAATGAATTTCCAAGCTGGAGATAGTAGTCAAAAATAAGAATAGTAGCTTGAAGATATTTGTGGTTTATAATGAACCATGCCTGTTAAAATGTATACACACATAGGGAATCATGTTTATACTTTAAACATAATTTAATAATCTTATTAGTCCTGCTTTAAAAATAGATGTCATTAGGTTGTATTTATGTATAAGGAATATGTTTAGTTTTAAATGCAAGCAAATGTTATTTTTCAGATCTGTATAATTAAGAAAGACCCTTCTATTTAAATAGTTTCTTTGTACATATAGAAAAATGATTTTTTTTCTATTTATGTGCAAATGTAAATGGCTGTGAAGTGTTGAAGATAATACAATAGGATGTATCTGCATATATTTTTTGCTATGTATATATCACATTTATATCCCACCCTTCTATTTAAAAGCTCTCTGAGCAGCATTTATAGTATTAATGTAATGTATTTGCACATTAATCCTGGGAAGTAGGTTCGGGTTGACAGATACTGAGTCACTGAAGGCCACCTGCAAATTTCATGGCAGAATTGAGATTTTGAACTCAAGTCTCTCTGGCATACTACACCACCAGTTTATTGCACTGATTGCACTGTTGAAGGAAGAATTTACAATGCAGTAGATCAAACTGCAGTAAATGTAACTGTAGAGACTGGACATTTCTGTGACTGAAATTTGTCCTCAACCTGATAGATATGCACAGAAATCTATCACTAAATAAGTATCCCTAAATATTAGGGATTATTTCTGAAATTCCCCCCTCTCTTTCTCTCTTTTCCTCCCTCCTCTCTCTCTCTCCAGAGCCTTCAGACAAGGGTTTATGTACTTCTTTTCATTGGTGTGCAAGATCACAGTTAAGATTAATATGACTGGAAAAAATTGAGGCACAGATCAAAATATATTTTGGCCCTTAGGAGTTTATAGATATGTATTAATTATCTAGATATTTACTGATTAGATATCTAAATACATAGATATCTAATTGTTCTGCCCCAGCTACGGACCCCAAAAAACGCAGCACACACAAAGTCCATACAAACCTTAGTTTACTAATTAAGGACTACTAATGAGTTTTCTTAGTAGTTGTTCGAACACAAGTACAGTTTAAATCAGTCTTTTCTGAACAAGAGCTGTTAATTTAACTTCATTAACAGTCAACAAGAATCCAAAGAATAATAACTCAATTCTGAAGCACAGTATTTCAGATAACCGTAATCTTACTGTGGTTGGCAGAATGCCCAGAAGCAATTTGCAGGAAAACTGACAAGAAAGGAGCAAGAGCCGATCAGACGTTTCTGGAATCAAGATGCAAAGGAATATGAACGAAGTTGTTTCCTGCAAATTGCCTCAGTTGTCATCCTTCCTTAAATAGGCTAGGGGAGTGGCCAATTAGCCCCAAGCCTTACTCTCAAGGAGACCTCCTCCTGAGGAGCCATTCCTGCCTTTTGGCAGCTCTGCACGCTTGTGCATCAAGAAGAGGCTCCTCCTCTTCTTCCTCTTCACTTATGGGAGCTTCTGGAGGTTCTGAAGGCCCTGGCTGAATCCCCACCTCTGGCACCACACCTTCTCCAGCCTCCTCATTGTCTGACTCGAGTGCCAGCTGCACAGGCTGCTGGCGCATCATCACACCAGCCTCCTCGCTGTCGGAATCAGCTACTAGCTGCACAGGCTGCTGACGGGCCACAACACTAATAGATATCTTTAGATATTCCTCAATCCAATTTCCTCTTCCTTTTAACAATTAGAATGCTGCAGAAAAAGATTCGGATTCACATATATATGTAGAAGCCTAGGATACAAGTTTGTATGAGAGTTTCTGTGTAGAGATGCGATGAACATAAATGTTCATTTGCGTTTCCATCATTCTGAAACATTTCCTTTTCATTGTAAATTTGTCTATGTTATTGTGAGAGAACAGGAAGGGAGAACTTTCAGAATATATTATTATTTATGTGATTGCATACAATATTTGTTTTTCTTAGGTGATTAGAGCAACCTGTTGTCTTCTTTTCTGTTTTCTCACTATTGGAAGGCTGGTGTTGGTGGTTCGATCTTATGGCTGCAGGACTTCCTTCAAACCTGTCTTGGCATAACCCTTTTTGTTTCAGCTTCATTGGAGCACTGATAACAAGTGGAGCAGTGACATGAGACTTTTGGCCATGTCCTATATTTATAGTTTCCAAAATCGTCTTGCTTTTAATGTGTCCTTGCAGAGATATTGACAAAGATTTTATCTTTAAATAAATTTATTTAATTCTGCATAACTAGACAAACCTGTTCAAGATTCAAGAGGACCTTATCACAATTCTTACAGCAAAGTGGAATCTTCTGTTTGTATTTATGGAAAATGTAGAAAGATAATTACGCATTTTTCGGAGTATAAGGCACCTTAGTTTTTGGGGAGGAAAATAAGAAAAAAGCTGATTGGCAGGTGGATAGGCCTCCCGGAATACCCCCAATCAGCTGTTCCCAGAGGTGAATTTTAGCAACAGATTCCTTGGTTTTGAACTCTGTGCCTTGCTTTTTTTTTTTTTTGCTTTTTTTGCTGCCTCTGAAACTTCTGAAACTCTGTTTCAGAAAAAACTTTTTTCCCTACCTCCGAAAGCCTCCGAAACAGAGCTTCAGAAAAAAAAGCCTCTGAAGCTCTGTTTGGGGGGCTTCTTTTCTGTTTCTGATGTTTTTTTCAGCCTCTGAAACCTCCCTTTGAGAAGCTGAGTGGGGCTATGTTCGGAGTATAAGACGCACCCAGATTTTCACCCTCTTTTTTGGGGGAAAAAGGTGCGTCTTATACTCCGAAAAATACAGTAATATCTACATTGAAGTTTACTAAAATTTACAACTTGATTAATTGAATTTTTCCATGTACTAATTTATTTATTTTTTTACTCTTTTTAAAAACTTCCATAAACTTACTAGTTTTTTTCACTTCTTAAAATTCCTATTAAACTTTAACATATCCTAGTCAAGGAACATCTCTCTCTCTCTCTGTCTTCTCTTCTCCCTCCCTCCCTCCCTCCCTCTCCCCCCAAGCATTCACCAACAATTTATATCACCCAGAAGTCAAAGTTACTTCTCTACAGACCTGGGAAACTGCTTCATTTGGGATGGTCTCAGTCAAGTGAAATTTGTTACTTCAGTGATCTGTTCTTTTACATAGTAATATTGATTTTGAGGATATGTGCTGCTCAAAACACACAGTGCCAAGCGACCTGTTATGCAATTTTTTCTCTTAGAAATTGGTCCCCCTTTCTGCAAATTGCAGTTTCTGCTTCCTTACTGTATTGCATTTCTTTCTCATGTAATCTGTGGAGGCAGTTAAAGTTATGGGAAAAAGTTACAGTGCATGTGTTACAAATGCTTCTTCATATGTGCACTTGTGGTCACTAGTAATATATCACCTTAGCATGAGGTGACTGGGGAAGTAAGTTATATAAGCAGAGAAAAAATTTGCACGGGAGTCTGCTATTACTCAAATTATTACAACTCTACCCTTCTCCAAATTTCTAACTTTTGTTCGTTTGATAGTATTTATTATCTAGTCTTTCAGGGTAATATTTCACAGCTTTTTCCTTTCATTTATAAGCAGGCAAAACCTTCCACTGTAGAAGTGTTGGAAAAACTTGATAAGGTAGGATATCCTTTTAATACTGTTTTTATGAGCTGAGAGCCTTTAATTATCTTTTTAGGTGTCATGTTATATGTAGTTTAAGTTAGAGAATATAAAAAAAATTGTGGATGATTAGTTAGAGTATCTTATCTATGTCGCAAGCATAAACATTCTAGGTAGAAGCAGGCTATTTGAGAATAAATAAAAATGAAAATTTATAAAATGCTGAATTTTAGGAGGAAAATGCTTTAAGAAGGGGAAATAAAAGAGACTATACATTCTTCGCTGTTGCCAAAGACTCCGTTTTTCTTAGAGTGGAACAAATGATTAACAAATTAATTTACCTATTAAATTTAGTAAAAATACTTCCATGTAGGTAATACATATGAGAGTCAGTTTGGTGCAGTGGCTAAGGTATCAGACTAGATAATGGGAGACCATGAGTTCTAATTCCATCTTGGGCCCAAATCCATATTGGGGCAGTCATAGTCTCATCTGTGTCTTATGGAGGAGGCAATGGCAAACTGTTTCTGAAATCTTGCTAAGAAAACTGAATGGATTAGTCCAATCGGTGACCAGGTGTAAACATTGACTTGGTGCCACAATGTAATAAAAAATAATAGTTAAGATATTAGATTTATCTATGTTAGTGCTTATTCAGAATTAAAGCTAGTCCTTGTTTAGCAACCTCAATTTGTTCCGATGACATGGTCGCTAAGTGAACCACATGACTGAGAGACAGAAATGTTGTGAAGATTACTGATCGTTGGCATTTCATTTAGATAAAATTATTCTCACTCCAATGTGTGTTTTTGTCAGGTGCAAAAATTTAGGCATAAATCTGGGCATATGACAGAAAATGTTTTTTACAAACATTTATTACCATCATATTTGCAAACAGTTGCTATCTGAGGCAGCTGCTAAACAAGGACTATCCAGTCAAATGCATTTATTTATTTTTACATAATAAACTATATTTAAAAATCAAACTACATTTTTGAGCTTTCTGGTTTCTGCAGTTTCTACAGGCATGTTGGATAATCTTGAAGTGAAGATAATTTTTTATAACTTATTCTCTTTTAATATAGGAGAAAGTAAAATGTACCTCATTATTTTCTTCATCTTCTTACACAGATGTTTCTCTATTCTGCCTCACACCTTTGTATATGTATGAAGTGAGGGTTATGCCTATGTTTCTGAACACAAACCATAAACAGTTTAGAACGTTATTCAGTACATTATCTCATTCTTAATTTTTCAGATACAAGTTTTAGAAAGTTAAAATGCTGCCAAGATACTAAAATATAAATATTTTTATATTTACAGGATATCCAGTCACTGGAAGAGTTCAGAGAAAAAAATCAGAGGCAGCAAAAGCTATGGGTTGGAAGATTTCTCCTCTATTCATCTGTCCTCTATCTTCTTATTTGCTTAGTTATTTATTTGTGGTACCTTCCTGATGAATGGACTGCTCGATTTATTATGACTCTTCCACTTTTTGCGTTTCCTCTGATGTAAGTAAAATATTTCTGTTTCATAGCATTCTGTTATATTTACAGACTTTATGAAGAAAGAGTTGAAAAGAATGCTATGGATTCTTCTTGAAATAGAGTGTTATCTTGAGCTCTCTGCAGCTATCCAGATCTTGTAAACAAGGAGTCGGGAAACAGTTTTTTTCCATAAGCTAACCAGGACCTCTGAGAAGTTCATAATGAATATGGAAACCCAGTAGCCTTCTGTTGTTATTTTTGAACAAGACATGCTCTAATATATAATTTTTGCCACGAGATAATTTGGTAAATAAATTTAACAAATAACGATAATTTTATATTCCATTAATTTGTGTATTCACCATCTGAAGTGCTATCCCTGTGTTACGGCAATGAGTGTGTTCCATGAAAGTACCAAGAAGTACTTTCCTTTGCCTGTCCTGAATTGCCCATTTTACGTCTTATTGGATGATCCCAATTTCTAATGCTGTAAGAAATTATTATTATTATTATTATTATTATTATTATTATTATTATTATTATTATTATTATTATTATTATTATTATTAATTTTCCCACCTAAATTACATAATTCTAAAGTTGCAGTTTTTTCTGCATGGTGCTGTTCTGGACTCTTAGAACTCTTTTTGATTTACAGTAGCCATTCTGAGGTACAAATCCACGCTCTGCATAGTTTTCACAAGATACATCATAGATTTGTACATTTCTGCTAGGAAGGAAATACTTTGTTCGGGCTTAAAAAAAGAAAATAAAGTTTTCTGAGACTAAGAAAATAACTTTCCATACAGAATGGGTAACTTTGGCCAGAGCATGCATATGATACTAGACAAGGCGGGTCCGTGGGCTGCATGCAACCCTGGAAAGTTAGTAATACAGCTCTACAACAACATAAACTTTTAACGTTATTATGTGATTTATATAGATTAACTATGTTACATATTGTATATGCAGCCTAAGACAATTCCTATTCATTCAGTGCGGTCCAGGCAAGCCAAAAGTTTGGTCACTTGTGTCTTAGACCAGAGGTGTCAAACTCGCGTTGTCACAGCGGCACCATATGACGTATCGTGGCTTTTTCCCCCTTCGCTAAATCGGGCATGGCCAGCGTGTGACACATCTGGCCCATGGACCATGAGTTTAACAGCCCTGTCCTAGACTACTGTTTGGTGACTCCTGACACACTCCGGAGTCACAGAAATATAGTGATTGTATTTATGGCAATCACAACTTTGCATTACTACATGAGGAACTGTCAGGCATACATGAGGTCAGTGAAATCATAGAGGAATCATGGGTTATAGGAACCCTTGGAATAATTAGACCAAGACCAAGGAACACTGACTCTCAATCCAACAGCCCTGGTCAGGATGGTCAGGGACTTCTTAGAACTCCATTTTCTCTTATCTTCTAATCTACTTGCTCGCCTGCCTTCTCTTAACACATTCTTATAGCCGTAGCACTAATTGGATAGAATACAGATCAGTTTTCTCACGCTGGTTTATGAGAAGGATATATTTTTTTTAAAAGCCTCTGGAAAGGGAAAGAAAACCCCCAAATGCTACTCCTTTGTTTCTTCTTGTTTCTGTGGTAGTAGGTTACCTACTTTGCAAGATCAGATAGAATTAATCTCAATTGTTTTTCCCCTGCTAGGAATGACTAGCTGTTGACAACTTGTTTTTTCTTTCAGTCAAAATGTGAATCTATGTGGAATATGTAGTTTGATCTGGTGCTAATTCTGGAGTCTTAAGCAAAATAAATAGTGCCAGCCTTTCTTGGCCTGCAGTTCCTAGAAAAATGCTGCCTTGGGCTACTCTCCAAGGGTCTGATAGTATTACCAATGCTGGCAAAGTTTGCTGGCTTTCTGGAATATGTTTGCTGCCTAGCTTAATGCATGCATTCAAATTAATTTTGAAAGTAAGATAATGAAGGCATTTTCAGTGATTTTGCTATTTATATCCAAAATGTTCAGCTTAGCTTCTTTTAAATTCAAAACATTTATAGAATTGCCAAACATAAATGAAAAAAAAAATCAGAAATATTTATATTCCTAATAAATTTTAATATGTAAAGCTCTTTATGTATTGCAAACAAGCAAAGAAGGACTCACAAATTATATAGTAAAATTAGGGCTATTCAGAGATCAGGGTCTGATCAAACTTCAGAAAAGTTTGACGGTTTCAAAATTATGTTATTTTTCAAAGTATTTTTATTAAACACTTTAGATTTTATTTATTCATGGCAAAAATGTTAAAAAAACACTTAAAAACATTTTAGAAAAGGTGTACTATGATTGTATTATGTTTTCTTTATTGTTGACTACCATTTCCTACATTCCAATAAAAATGTTTTTTTTCCTCTGCAGAACCTTATAGTTACTTTGATTGTACCATTTAAGCCTCATAATATAGGCTGGATTTAATTTATTTCACATCAGATAATGTAGCCCAAGTACACAGTGTGGACTGTGGATACTGAGATGATTATGCTTACTAGAAGTATACGTATTTACATAGAAAGAAAACTCCAGAACATTTTCTGATGCTACATTTTCTGGAAATTGCACACTTCTGGAAAGAGAATATCTGAGCTGAAAAGTTCAGGTGGCTGCAAGATTGCAGCAAATCTAATTAATATTTATATTTCTGCTATCCAGAGGTAGATAACCGAAATGATTTGGAAAAGTATTGATTCTGAAAAGCTTAGTATGGTTTTTCTGTTTCCTGTTAATCCATCTGTATTGTGAGATGGCTAAAATGAAGTATTACATTTGCTGACAAAAGCTGTTCAACATTGCCACCTTGTTCATAATTTCAAATACAGCACAAGGGTGAACTAGTTTTACTCATACTAAAGAGCTTGCTATTTGGTTCACCGTAAACAAAAGTTTGCAATTGCATGTCTCTAACACAGAAATTTCTGTGTTACAGAAATTTATCCTGTTTTTATAAATGTTTCCGTAAAAGAGAGGAAGAAATACAGAAACCGTATTATCCTCCACTTGTCTTAAATTCTGGTTTTATTTGACATATAATGATGGAATTTCAATAAGACAGCATATCTTCCTTCCATAGAGCACCTTAATTGGATGCAATTTTATTAAGATAGGGGATGGATCAGTAGTTGGTTTTTGCCTTCCAATTGACAGTCTGCAGTCTTTGCCTCTAATACAAATTTTGCTGTCTTATTGTCCTTGCTTGAAACAAGTCCTTTCAGTGAACTTATAACATGAAACGAGGTGGTTACCTAAGCACATGACTTTTTTGGCATTAGTTTCTTTTATTAAAATTGGGATTAGTTACGATGCATTACAGATGATAGTTAAATTCTTACAAACAGTGACAATGTTCAGTTTGCTCTTGTTTAGATTTTAATGCTGGATGTTCTTTCTCTTTTTTACCCTCTAACTTTTCTCTTCTCTTTAGTGTTTGGTCTATAAGAACACTCCTCATCTTCTTTTTTTCAAAAAGAACAGAAAGAAATAGTGAGTATCTTATTTTTCTTTTTCTTTTTTCTAGATCATGTAAGAATTAACATGATATTAATAGAGTGACATTGTATACAGGTAGTCCACACTTAATGACCCTAATTGAGATCAACAAATCTGCCGCTAATGGTTGCTAAGTGGAAAATCATGTGACTATGACTCTTCCCATGGCTGGAAAGAGAGAAGACGACTCAGTTAAACACGTTCAGACTTTGTTTGCCCCCTAACCACTACCCCATTCTGTGGGGTCAAGTGTCTGCTTACTGTCTTGTCCACATCAAAAGCAATGCAGTTGTGCCAACTGTCTGGGGCTGGAAGCCATGGGTATGCTACGCAAGCAGCTTATTCTCCATTGTTGGTGGAGACAGCAGCCAGTGTGGGTAGATCGCCCAATCAGCTGAAGGACTGAGTCAGCCAATAACATTAAAGTCCGCCCCTGTTGTCAGGCAGGTCCAGCTTTTGACTCAGTCCTTCAGTTGGACAGGCGTGTGGGTCTTAGCTCTGTGCCTTTTTCTGCTTATATTTCTTATTATTGTTTGGAATTTGGTTTTTTTGACTCGGATTTCTTGACTACAATTGCATCTTCTTCCTTATCCCTTTGGACTGTCTGACTTCGCTGTGAGTGTTACGTTTGAATTTGGTGTTTTTCGGATTGCCTCGCTACTTCTGCTGATCGGGGCTAACCTTTCCCCAGCCTGCCTCCTTCGTGGAGGGCGGCTTTAGACTTCAGGATTGTTTTTCTTTGATTCCGGAGGGCTCATTTGGCGTTTTATTAGTCTGGTGCCCTCAGAGACTTTCCCAGCTTCCAAGAGGTTCGTTGGTGAGGAGTTTCGCTCTGCGGAGTTGGCAGAGGCCATTTTGAAGCACCCTTTTTGCGCCGCTCCAATCTTCGCAGTTTAAATTGATTCCTGACAAGCCTGCTTGGGGTTTTTTTTTCCTGCTGTCAACTGTTCGCCTGCTAACCCCTGCGCTCCTGCTACTTCAGCCTAGACTAGTCTTCTCTCCCTTTGATCGTCCTTTTGTTGAGCCAGTGCACTTGTTATCGCCACTTGCTAATCGCTTGTTAGCGGAGCTCCACGCTTCCATCACTGCCGGGCGGCGGCGCTGGGGCTTGCTTCGGATTAAATTGCTCCAGACTTTAAACAGCCCCTTGCTCTGTTACTGCAGCCTTGGCCCCTCTATTGCAGTTGCTGCTTATTGGACTGGGACATTTATTAGCCGCCATTTTGTGAGCTGACATCTGGCATCGGTGGCCATTTTGTGGAGTCTAGCGCTCCCCTTGGCACTTGTGGAGTTAGTTTACGCTCCCATTCATACTGCCTGATCTCTGCTGCTGGACTTGATTGTACTGAGGTCTATTAGCCGCTTGGATGCCTAAAGCAGTGGCAAAATCCAAGCATGGCCGGAGAGCCAGTGCCAGTGACCAGGGTAAATCATACACCTCATCTGTTATCCCTCCGCTCGCCCGGGAGGCCTCCAAGGAGCCATCCCCGGCCTTGCATACAGCGCACTCTCGCCATAGGTCTCACGGTCATCACGTTGGATCTTCTAAGGCCGAAAAAAGAAGGGACAAGGTCCTGACTAAATTGTGCGCCAGGGCTAGTGCTAATCTTCTTTCGACGCCTGCTCCTGCTCCAATCACCGGGGAGGCCTTGGCTCCTGTGGGCGCTTCACGCCCTGTCACCCCAGATCAGCTGTCACTTCAAGATTGGCCAGTGGTCATTTCAACAACCAACTTATGGGGTTCAGGTCCTCCTCCTCCCCCGCCCCACCCGGAACCTGCAGGTCCTCCCGACCATCAGCTTGCTGAGTCTCAAACTCAGCATGATTCCTTGAGCCTAACGGTTGCCCAGGAGTCAATGGCCTTAACGACCCCTGACTTTCTTCCTACCGCAGCTGTAACTCTCCAACTTCTCCCGGAGCAACTTCATCATCTTATTGAGGCTGCAGTTCAACGATCTCTGGCTGCAGGGCGCCATGCTGCTGGTAGGCCAGATTCGTCTCGGTCAGTCATATCTGTTTCTCCGGAGCGAGCAGTCCAGGAGAGCGCTCATTCGGATCGGGTTCCTGACTCCCCTACTGGCTCGCATTCGAGTCATCCATCGGTTCTGACAGAGGCTGATTTCAGTGACTCTGGTCTGTCAGATGATGACAATCTACGACCGGACCAACTGGCCTTCACCGGACTTTTTCCACAGGCGTTGTTCAAATCCTTGCTTTTCAAAGCTGTCAATACTGCCCATTTGTCGTCTCCAAACGCTGACCCTGTGCCTGCCTCCTCTTCTTCTTCTTCCTCTGCGGCCTTGGACCCCATGTTTGCGGAGCTTTCAAGGCCGGTGACTTCGATCCCTACCCCTCCCCTCTTTCTGGATGTGATGAGAAGTCAGTGGTCTTTTCCGGGTTCTGCGCCACTCCCGTCCTCCAATGACTGCAAGAACTTCCAGGTGGCCGAGGACTTGGACTCTCTTTTACGAATTCCTTCTGTGGAACCGCCGGTGGCCGCCTTGTTACCGAACGCCGGTGTTCCTGGGGATCCGGATGAAGGTCTACGACCTGAAGAGCGCCGCTCGGACTTGGTCCTCCAGAGGGTCCACCAAAGTTCAGCCTGGGCAATTAGAGCAGCTACCACGGCTTCGTTCTTCAATCACACTACCCTCTTGTGGTTGCGTTAATTGCAAGACAAACTGTCTCCAGGGGATTCGCGTGCTAGGCAGGACCTGAATAAGATCGTGGCAGCATTGCAATTTTCGGTGGACTCCACCTTGAATGCTGCTCGTTTTGCCTCCAAAGCTCTGGCCTCCTCCTTCGGGGCGGATCCGGTTATGCTTGAAGCCGACGGAGGTTATTGGGTGCCGGGTCTCGTCTACGTGAGCCTGCCACTGCCAGCCTGCAAGTTTTGCTGTGATCTACACAGGCGGCATTCAGGCCTTGCACGGGATCGTGCAGGCCCGAAATTTCAAAGGCAGGTGTGCGGCGACCATCCCGTCAGGGCTCTGTGGGCGGCGCCATCAATCTAGCCAGGCTTGTGTGTCTTTGTGGCCAGCTGAGGATCCCCGGCGAGCATCCTGTTGCGGTCAGGCTGTGTGGCTGTGTGTGCGGGGCTCGCAGACCTGTTTCCGCCACCATCGGCCTTCATTGACAGTAAGTGGACAGCGGGCGCCATTTTGTCGCCATCTTCTTTGGCGCCCGCCATTTTGAATCGGCCTGTCGGCGTGGGCTTCTCCTCAGAGAAGTGCGGGGAGCGTTTGCACGCATTTCTCCACGCATTTGATACCCCTTTTTGCCGGAACTCTAGATGGACTACTTGGGGGTTTCAGAGGCTGTGCGGGCTTCTCGCCGTGCCCCTCCCCCCGGGTAGGGACTATTGCTGAGGCCTCGGGCCACCTGGATTGGCAAGCTTCTCCTGCTGCAGAGAGAGGGGCTCTCACATTTCACGCTCATCAAGTGGTGTCTGCCTGGTGGGACAGTTTTTCCACAGTTAAAAAAACCAAAAACATAAAAAGGACATTAATTTCTACTCTGAGATGCGTCTCCGCCTGTCGCATTTGCCATGGGGGACTCGTCCTTTTCATCGGACCTGGAACAGGAGGCTAGTCCTGCCAGATCCTTGATGGCGCATAAAAAACATTCGGGCAAAAAGTCGGCCTCCAGCAGCCGTAAACATCACCATTCTAAGTCATCTTCATCGGCCGATAAAGATGCACTTCGCAGACACAAGGCTCTGGAAAGACAATTTGAAAAAGCAAAACTCGCTGTGACTGCGCTGGATGACCAGGCCGGGACAGCCTATCAACGTGAGCCCCCTGACTCCGGTCATGGCATGTCAGGACCATTTACTTCGGTTCCGCTGGCACTAGCCAAAGGTGTTTCGCAGTCGCTTCCAGATGTCTCAGTGGCATGGGTACCTTCTCACCAGCGGTTGTGCCGTCAACAGCCTTCCGCCACTTTCACACCTACAGCAGCGGGTCTCCGCTCTGTACCTCAACCTGCCACGAGCTCACAATTTGACTTCCAGGCCATGCTCTCTACGGCTTTGGCTTCCATCATGGCGGCGGGGGCACAGTCTGCTGTCCAAAGTCCGGCCAGGGAGGGCCCTCGTGAGACGCAGACAGCTCCCGTTCTGCGACATTCTCGCTCGCCGCTGCGCCGTGAACTTGACTCGTCGGAGGGCTCCGGCTGTGAGGATGACTATCCTGTGGACCTCGAGTTTTCTGAGGACGAGGGGTTATTGCTGGATGCTCCAGCCTTTACGGGTTTGTTTCGCCTGGCGCTGTTTAAGTCCTTACTCCACAAGGCGCGACTACTAATTTGGGGTCCGTTGGCGCGCAACCTTCCTCTTCCCAGCCTGATTCTGGCCCACATGATGCCTTGTTCAAGCAGGCCAAGCATGAAAAGGACTTTACTCCATGTCCTCAGTTCACTGACGTTTTGCAGGCACCATGAGGCCAACCGGGTTCGTCTACGGCGCCCACCAATTTGGACAAAAAGTTGTTTTGTTCGGCGCCTGAGTTGGAGTCGCTGTTGGAGCTGCCATCCGTGGATGCACCAGTGGCTGGCCTCACTTCCCAGTCCATGATTTTGGCGAAACCTCTGGATGGCTTGAGGTCGGAAGATAGGCGACTGAATTGGCCCTCCGTAAGGCTCATCAGGCCGTGGCGTGGGCCATCAGGACTGCAACAGCTACGTCATTCTTTAATCGTGCCTCATTAATTTAGCTTCGACAACTGCAAGAGCGCCTGCCGCCAGAGGAAACACGCTTACACCACGACATTAATAAAATTATTGCTGCTACGGAATATTCGACGGACGCCTCTTTGAGTTCCATGAAGTTCACCTCGTGGGCCCTCGCTGCTTCCGTCACTGCTCGCCGCCTCTTCTGGTTGCGCCCCTGGAAGGTCGACTTCAAAACTAAATGGAAGCTGGCACCAGCGCTGTATAAAGTGCCTACCATGTTCGGGGCAGCTTTGGATCCTGTCCTTGTCGAAGACAAGGATAAG